ACAACAAACTCTCACAAAAACAAGGCAGAAAAATATTCAAACAATGCGATACCTCGTCAAAACATCCCAAAAGCAAACGACAAGCTATGATTCATCTAAACGCTAAGAACTGATCCAAACCTTATGGGAAATAAAATCAAGGACTATACATCATCTCTTATCACAGTCACGCGTTTATAAAACCTCTGCCAAACATGAGAGTGAAACTCGATGATTTGCCGAAGTCGTAAAGATCTTTTCCAACTTGATAAAACAAGTTTCGAATAACAGTTAAAAAAAATTATACGAAAAATCTTTAGGCATCAAAGCATTGCTTTCATTTTCCGTCGAACCAAGTGAGTCACGGAACAATATCGAAAATATTTGCGACAAAGAAAAGTCGAGAACACAAGTAGCAGCAATAGAGAACACGTACTCCTTGCTCGCCAACTAATCCTATCACTGGTCAAGTGATTCGTTCCGTTCAAGAAACTCGCTAAAAGGTTTCGCGACTGGATCTCGATGAAATAACCTTTGATAAAACTCTATGAGTGATTCCAAGAAACTATCACAAAAGAATCAAAAACAAAGCAGAAAAGTCTTCTCGAAAATCTGCAGAAACATTGTTATCTCCACGCGTCGTGTCGATTTACTAAAATTATCACCCGTTACTTTTGCGAAAAATCCTTCGTATATTCAGGATCATAACGAAGAAACTTTCAAAAATAAACGTAACAGGTCTTGCGAAAAATACTTTCCTTATAGGAAAAACCAAGCTATACGATCCGACACTAGGACGACCAATCTGAACTTTGTTTCCTCGCATCACGATCTGAAAAATCTCCTTCCTTAGCCCTACGGTTCATGAGCATCTGCTCTCATTCCTCTCGATTACATCTCGGAACGAAACCATCCCGCAACTGACTTTGCACGGGCTTGGCACCGAGCTTTTTAAGCTTCGTCTCCCTCGGGCAAAAAAGAAAACAACTTCCATACAAACAAAGGAAAGACTATACGAAACTTTTACCGTATAAATCAAACCTAAAAACAGAAAAACGTTTTCTACGACCATAGACATACTTGGCTATGCGGCTGAATACAACCTTCACGCCAAGCCAAAACATTCACCGTATGATGTAAACTTATCAAAAACCGACTAAGTTTTACATTCTCTTGATTCACTCTATTTCCAAAGCAGGCTTAAGACAAAACCCTCGCAACACCGCGCAACATCTTCGAGCCCGCAAACGTTTATGACACGAAATGCAACATATAAAATAAAAACCAATCTTCAGCATTGCGAGATGTCGCAGACGCCCGAAGAATAGTTTTTCGACACAAATACCTTCCTCGATAAAGTCATTTTCTTGGAAGATCTAACAGTCCATCCGCGACTATAAAATACGCACAAGCTACAAATCCTTCGCGAAGGCCCAAACAACGGTAGCATCTACCACCAAGTTTGTTGCTGATCACAACAAACTTGCAACAGTCCTAAACAAACTTAAGTTATCTCGCAAAGATAGCTCTCATACACCCGACACAAGGGTAATATTCTAATTATATTATATCTCTACTTTATCATTATCTATTAGTAACACCTTATACTTTTCATATTTACTAATTTTACTCAACTATTTTGTTTTAACAATAATCCAACAGAATTATTATAGATTCAATATTATCATATGATAAAATTATTACACATAATAAAGAACATGAAAATTCTCTCAAATAGTCTCTTTTTAAATGTTTGTCACAGAAATGGTCCTCAAGGAAGAAAATAACCAAAAGTGATTTCATTAAAGAAGCAAAATACTTTTGAGCCCATTGCTTTTTAAATATAGAAAGAATAAATAAATCATAAATAAATAATAAATAAATAATAAATAAATAATAAATAATAAATAATAAATAATAAATAATAAATCATAAATAAATAATAAATAAATAATAAATAAATAATAAATAAATAAATAATTAATAATTAATTAAAAAATAATTAATAAGTAATAAATAAATAAATAGAAGAAATATATTTTTAATATTTTTTGAATTATATGCTTTCAAATTCACACTTTTATAACTTATTTTTCAAAAAAAATATTTGATTTTTTTTTTATATTTCTTTTGTAAATTCAAAATTTAATTTTGTAACTATTTTTCAAATTTTTATTTTCAATTATTTTTTATTTTTGAATATTTTAAACCCTACCCCCAAAACGCAACCCTTTAACTCTAAACAAAAAAGTATAGGTTAGTTAACCTTAGGATAAGAGTATATTTTCCCTCCTATAAAACTTCTTTTGATCATTTTCTAGTTTAAAGGTTCTTTTGTGAAAATAAACTAAAAGAGGCTATCATAGAGAATTTCTCTAAGATCAAACAATACTGGATTTTATAAAGAAGCACCAGCCATATATCTTTTCAACAAATGATCAATTAAATCGTTCGGAAGTGTGAAATGAACGTCTTAATCTTTAGTTCTTCTAAATCACACCAAAAATTCTTGGAAACGAATATGATCATGATCTTCAATATCAACCTTTGTAGGTGGAGCTTCTCTGTGACTTCAATCGGTGCTTTGAGATAAAACTCATCCTCGGTTATAATATTATGTAAATTTGTACAGGTAGTCATTATGTCTTGTATCACTTTTTTTTCCAGAGACGAACTGGCCCTTTCACAATAGCAAATGTGACTGGAGAACGCCAAATGCATGTACCACATCTTTCCTACATTTTGCATGGCACCCTCACTCCTCAGCGGCACCCTCCAGCACCACTTTCCTTCACTGAAAGAAAGAAGCTCTGACAATTCCAAGAGAGAGACAGTGAAGAACTAACATGAAGAGCACACAAGGAGGAGAGAAGGCAGTGACGCTCCCACACTCTCGCCGGTGCGAGTAGAAACAGATCTGACACAGATCTGCCACCGGTAACCTAAACAGCGACGCTCTGGAGACCTATTATCCTCACCGCCAAGCAACACCTCACCTGCACCAGCAATGACACGGACAGCCGAGAAGTCGTTTTAGGTACTTTGATCGGTGGAGATTCAGGACAAAAAGTATATCGGAGCAGAAAGGATGAATAAATGAAGGGGAGGAGGAGGATAAACAAAGAAAAAGAAAGGGGGAGGGGGACCGGTGGGGGAGACTTTTGGGGATTTCTAAGGATATTAGTGGATCAAAATATAGACTTTTTGCTTTCTTGAAAGATAGATTATGAAATTGAGTAATGGATGGACTGCAAGTTAGATTATTCATATTGTCTATTGCACTGGCTCAACCTACTTATATAATGTCAAATTTTTTGCACCCTTTAAAGACATGTGAAGTTAGTGTTATTGCACAGTTCTGGTGGAGTTTGAAACCGCCTAAGAGAAGAATTCATTAGGTAAAATGGAAAAACTCTGTAGACCAAAAGATGAGGGAGGAATAGGATTCTGTAGGACCGATGAGTTTAATCTCGCTTTATTATGAAAATAATTATGGAGACTGGTTCAATACACATACTAAATACTAGCAAGAACTTTTGCTAGGAAACTATTACAGGTGGAGTTGTCATTGCGAACAAACTTGATTGACAATCGCTCATATGGGTGGACAAGTATTATGGTAGCAAAGCCATTATTAGCTTTGGGAAATGAACATAAGCTACATTCACAGATGAGAGTTTGGGAAGATTCTTGGATACCAACTATTTCTGCAAGACTTTCTAGATCCACTACACCAGTGGTTCATCTTTTGGTATATACATCTCTGGAAATAAATCAATCTCTTCATCCGGATATTTTTGTATGGAATTACGCGAAGAATGGAATGTATGCAATAAAGTTGGTATTAGGTTGCTAGGAATATCCTTACAAAGGAAACAGAAGTGATATATTCAAAACCTAATATCACAATACTCAAACATTTACTTAAAAGATCAAATCCCATAGAAAATATGACATCTTATGTGGAAAAATATATTAAGACACAGTTGTAACTAGTAACTTAACATATCGTCATATGCGATGTGACAATCATTGTCTCAGATGTGGTGCAGAGAATAAAACCAATATGGTATTTTCGAATGCTTTCTAGCTCTACAAAGGTGGTATATGGCAGCAACATAGGCCCTCTATTAGTATTTCGTAGTTTAAAATATACAAATATGGAATATCTCTTCTGATGGAAGAAAAAATATAAAAGATCTGGAATTGGATTGAGATCCACACTCGTGGATAATCTAATATATTTATAGATCACGAAATGGTAAGTTGTTCAGAGGAATAAAAAGAGATCCTTTGGAAACTTTTAGACAAGCTAAATTGGAATGTCACACATGGTTTGAGGATAATAGTACAAGGGCAGAGGTACATGAGGAACAGCATCAACCATCTATACATTCTGTACGCATAGAAATTTGTAGGATTGATGGATCATGGACACATGAGTACTCTTCATTTGTTGTAGATATATAGGTAGAAAACTCTAGAGGGAAACTTCAACTTTTTGGAGTTAAAAATCAGAGAAATGCATGCTAGTCTCTCTTTTGGGCTATGGAATGCATGCTACAAGTATCGACTTGTCAGCATTTTGGTACTGATTCTAAGAACCTGATCTCAATTATTCAAGAAGTAGAAGCATGAAAAATTTTTTAACAGAGTTAAATGAGCTATCAAGATTGAAGCGTAAATTCATAGATTTCTCTATTGCGTACCATCCTCGATCTGAGATATATATTTCAGGTTCATTAACTAATAGCAAAAGCATAACATAGGGAGTTATAATACATTGGTTGTTCTATTTTGATCTGGTTTGGGAGACCACATAAAGATTGAGTAATAGATCAGCGGTTTGATGAAAAAAAATGAATAAATGATTAGCAAAAAAATTGTAAGAACAAGTCGCAACAAAGGACAAAGTTAAGAAGAAGACATTCAGGTGTTACAATTTGTGATTATATATATATATTAGAGTTACACAACTCGTCGATGCACAACAAATTCAATCAAAACACACTGTTTCTGGTTCAATCAAGAGATTCACCTTTATCAGGGATTAAAAGCGTTGGGATTTGGCCATGATCAACGAAGTCAATTTTGCTCAGCCTTATACAGCATAAGACTTTTTCTGGTAACTCTTCTTGTTTTTGAGCCTATTAACAAATACAAGTTCTTAACTAACACTGCATTCTTCAGCAAGAAATAGTTTCTATTAAAAGATGAATATAACTGGAACATTACCTGGATAGCTAAGCCAAGATCAAGAGTTCCATTTTTAAGTCGATCTCGAAATGCCTCAAGCCCTTTTCTTGATATGAAACTAAACCGATGAACGTCCAAGTCAATCTCAAAGTAATTAGGACCCTGGATATAGGTATACATTATGTTTTATTAGGCGACTTATATGGTATTTATCGATAAAAAAAAAAAAAAAAAAAAAAAAAA